TTATCTAAAGATAATAAAAGCTTTAGTCAATAAATATACTATATGGATGTTTACATGATCCTCCCCATTAAACTGCGAGCATCTCAAGGGTAGGAAAGCTCTACAGTCCAGGTCCTTAGTAGGCATGTGATAAATATTTACAGCCCTCAAGTGCGTGAACATCTCTAATAGTTAAGGGCATAGGAGGAGGTCGTAAAATTAATGAACCTGTTGCCAGCAGTCTGTCTCTGTCACAACCTAAACACAAGATCTTAGAATACCTATCTTACTGAAGTTGGAGCTTTGCTTTGGACAGTGTTTTAAATTCCTCATGAAAAAGGCAGAAAAAACCATAGGCACTCTCTTCATCAAGTACTCTCAAACGAAATCAGTTTGAAGCAGTTTTCATTAAGATGGATTGAATGTGGCATCGTGAGAAACACTTTATCAAATGTAGTGTTTTACTTAGTGATTAACTATATACCAGTTGATGAAGCTCCCCAAATCCTTTGTAATCCCACCACTCCAATAAACATTTAATGAGTATATAAGTTCAAAAAGCCTAGCAGAGGATTTAAACCTTCAATCTTGTTTTTATTTACTCTTGGAACTCAATTTCTCACTTCAAGTGAAGAATGCTGGTACTTGAGGCTCATCTGTTGCCCTGGTAAAATTAATGTGCCTCCCACAGTTTAAATTAAACATGTGATATTTAAGATGAAAGAAATTTAGTAAGAATGCCACAGTATCTGTCATACTTGCTTTTAAAATATGTGAGCATCGGCCAACTGTTTTCTTAAAAATGATTCATTCACAAGTTGTATAAAATAATATTGAAAAAGATTTGTTTTAACTCTCAAATGGAAGATCTGAAAAGGAGACATGAACTTTGATAGCTGAATCCTGTAGTATAGTAGTTATTATTGAAAACTGAAATATAGTGTTATGATGTAAATAACACTCACCTGTGTTAGAACCTGAGCTTTTATTTGGCCTCCAGTACTTACTACTGATGTGCTTTGGTTAAACTGTATTGCGTTTCTGAGCCTTCTCATCTCTACATTGGGAATACTGATCTTGTATGTTCCTATCTCACTGGTTTGTTGTGGGATTCAAATGAGATATGTAGGGGTGCCAGGGTGGCTCAGTCGTTTGAGCGTCTGACTTCGGCTCAGGTCATGATCTCACAGCTCGTGGATTTGAGTGCTGCGTCGGATTCTGTGCTGACAGCTCAGAGCCTAGAGCCTGTCTTCAGATTCTGTGTTTCCCTCTTTCTCGGACCCTCCCCTGCTCACACTGTCTCTCTCTCTCTCTCAAAAATAAATAAAACATTAAAAATTTGTTTTCAAGTGAGATATGAATAGGAAAGATATTCTATAAATCATACAGTACCATATAAATCTGTAGTAGCAGTACTATTTCTATGCTGACCCAGTTCTAATTAAAAGTAGATATATATAACTTGGCTGATGACCATAATAAATGTATCTGCTTAGATTTAATTCTGAATAAATTATCCATTATGTGGGTGAATTTTAAATAAGTTTACAGTAATGTAATAACAATGCATAAACTATTGTTTATTAACTTGGAAAAGAGAAATGAAGACAGAAAGTGTTGGATGAGGGGGAAGAGATAAAGACAGTTTAGGAGTCCAAAGAGGTCAGTGGATTTTGGTATGACTCTAATATGAAACAAAACATTTAATTTCACGAACCAATGATTTTCATTTGTTAAAACACCAAGAGCAAACAATCATTAGTTTTCATTAGACATATAGAAGTTAATAAGAGTGGTGTTCCTCTGAATAATCAGTCTGAAAGAATCTAAATGCGAATTTATTATATATGACACTTAGTTTTTTAAAAAAATCTATTATATACTGTATATTTATGTCTATTTTGGGAACTACAGTTTTTACGTTATAAAAGGCCCTAATATTTTCCAGTTACTTCAACTACTTTCAGCCATATTTAGGTCCAATAATAAGTGATTATTTAAATACAATAACATGGTCATACAACGAGAGACTCTATAACCATTAGATTCCTGTTTAATAAAATATTCAGCATTACTTACAAAGCATTCTTGCCAGAAAAGTTTGACCTGAATCTAACAAAGTTTTGAGACCTAGTATCCATTTCTCAGGAAATACAGGAATAGAGGAACAAGTTAAATAATGACTCAAGGAAGCAATTATACAAATCCAGAATTTGGAACATTCTCTAAGTCATCTAGCATGATTTCTTCACAAAGCAAATGTTATCAGGGGTGAGGGGGTGCTTGTCTAAAAGGGATTTAAGAAATCTAACAACCAAATCTATTTGTAATCCTTGAGTAGATTGTGGTTTAAAAAAAACAGTTATAAGGACATTTTGGGGACAGCGGGTAAAGTTTGAATGTTCACTGGATATTAGATGGTATTAGGAAATTACTGTTAATTTTGTTACATGTGATAATGGTATTATGATTATATAGGAGAATATAATTATTTTTTGGACAATATATATAGATGTTTTTAGGTATAAGATATGATGTCTGTAATTTAATTTGAAATGGTTTAATCAAAAATAATGAATATACAAGGGTATCCTAAATGCTTCATGCAGTTTAATTATTTCAGAAGTTTAACTGTCACAAACTTAAAAAAATCATATGAAACTTTAAATTCTTTTATATTTGTTTGTTTTTGTATATTTCTAATAATAAAATGTACATTTATATCTGTTCTAATCAATGTTTGCCATTTTCAATCAGAAAAGAACTAAAACAAAAATTTATCATAAAAATTTATTCATCAAAATCACAAACCTAAATAAGTATAAAAATGTGAAAAATTACGTTTCAAATGCTGTTCTTTTATAAGTGGCAGTTAGAGTTTTGAAGTTTTTAAGGCTGTGGCACCTGGGTGGCTCAGTTGGTTTAGCATCCGACTTCAGTTCAGGTCATGATCTCACTGTTTGTGGGTTCGAGCCCTGCATTGGGCTCTGTGCTGACAGCTCAGAGCCTAGAGCCTGCTTTGATTGCTGTGTCTCCCTCTCTCTGGCCCTCCCCTGTTTGTGCTCTGTCTGTCTCTCTCTCTCAAAAATAAACATTAAAAAAAAAAATGAAGTTATTAAGGCTTATATCTCCATTGAAACTTTGGGATTTCTATACATGGAAGAAGCAAATATGGCAACATTTATTATTAAATCTAAGTATAGGGGATTTGGGTGTTTATCCTACTATTCTTTTTACTTTTTTGGTATTAAGAAATTGTTTTAATAAAGAGTTAAAATATTATAAAATAATTAAGTAAATGGTATGTTACTAAAAGGTGAAAATAAGCTATTTTAACAAGATTATAACATGACTCAATATTAAATATGCACAAAATGACTGATAAAAATATATTAAAAATGAAAATAATATATATCATAAAGAAAACTTAATCTATGTTAGAATATTTCCTTTTTCCTTTTCAGTATTTTCCATAAACCTGTATTTATGGAGACTATTATAAATATGTATTATTGTAAATATTTATTTCCTCAAAAATAACATCCATTTACTATAAATATAATAGTTAAAAATAGATGTTTATTTTTTACATTAAAAAAATTTTTTTTAATGTTTTATTTATTTCTGAGAGAGAGACAGCATGAGCAGAGGAGGGTCAGAGAGAGAGGGAGATACAAAATCTGAAACAGGTTCCAGGCTCTGAGCTGTTAGCACAGAGCCCGATGCAGGGCTTGAACCCATGAACCATGAGATCATGACCTGAGCTGAAGTCGGACACTTAACTGATTGAGCCACCCAGGCATCCCAAAAAATAGATGTTTAAAAAAGCCTTTATAACAGGTTATTCCACTACTCTTAGGGTAAAGTACAGTTTCTGTTTCATACTCCACTTCATTAAACTATCATTGACTGCTCTAAGTTTGAGCAGTAATTATTGTCCGTTTTAAAAATTTAAGATGAAATTTTCCTTGATGTCCAAACATACATTTCAGAAATTTTGGAGGAATTCTTACACTCTAGTCTCAAAGTTTTTTGCCCTCTTTAATTCCAGTAACTTTCCCTCCACTCCACACTATTTCTTCCTTCCGTTCTCTTTTTTCCTTCATTCAGTAAACAGAGTGTTTACTATGTATAGGGATGTAGGTACACAGTCATTGCCAAAAAGAAAATCAAGTCTTTGGAGAGACATATACAGAGAATAATTATAAACAATGTGTTAAATGTAACAATAAGATGAGCAGAGGGCTTCCTTACAAAGTACTAAAGTGGCTGCAATAGCGACAATAGGAACAACTAAGTCTTAGAGGAAGAGTAGGAGTCAACCAGGTAAAGGCAGAATGACGGCATTCCTTACAGCTGAAAAGCATGAACAAAGAGCAAGACTATGGGGAAACACAAACGGAACATTATTACTAAATTTATTCACTGTAAGGCAGGGAATGGGAAGAGCTGAAGCCGTGCAAATAGGTAGGAGCCAGATAACTGAGGTCTTCACTGCTATATCAACATATAAATAGAGTGCATAGAATCTTCTTGCTGAAACTGTCATTCTGAATTCGTGTCATAAATGTCAATCTACCTGATTTCAAGATCACAAAGCCCATTTTTATATTTTTGTGTCTAAAGTGACTTTTGGGAAAAAAATACTGCAGTTATTAGATATATATTATTAGATGAAATTATTTTGGGAAAAGACTGAAGGACACCTCTTTTAGCAAGTACCTGTCAATGAGGTAACTGAAAAAAAACATACACGTGTAGCCTGGTTCCTTCTAAGCATGTCCACCTTACCCCCTACAAAAAAACTCCTGTACCAGAGCTTGACAAAGCCATCTATACACTATTATATTACTGCCCCTCTGAAATAGGCATCTTGGTGATGACTAGGCTGGTAGATGAACCACAAACAAAATCAAGTCTTCAATCTGAAAAACACAGAAAACATTAAGCATTGCCTGAGGCCTGGTGGTAAACCTTTGGGATGCACTTTTTAATCAGAAAAGGTTTAAGATTGCACTTACATCTCGGGCTTTCACATAGAAGGCCTCTTGAAAAGCAGCTTCTAATGAGCCAATAAAAAATACAGGATGGCAGTCACCATATCTATAGGAAAAATTATGTCTATTAATTAAAATACATTTCAAATTTACCTAGTAAGTTTCACAAGTTTAACCAGCATCTTCTAAGTAAATGTTGGGACTAATGTCTCTTAAGTACAGATCGAACATTAAACCATTTCTTTAAAAGCTTCACTAGTTCTTAGAATTCTTTTTGGCCTATGCTGATAATATTAGAATACTGGAATTTTAACTACATCTAGCAAATGGATTTAATAAGTGCTACAAAACTATGCCATTTATAAGTAGCAATTCCTGGTTATCCACTTTCATAAGATTTTTCCTTACAGAAGCCTTAAGTTTCTATTTTAATTCATTTACCCTGGAAGTCCAACAGAGAGGGAAAAAAATAATATCTTGCAAATTTCCAAATGACATTACATTAGAAAACAGAACTAGAGAGAAATATCATTTACACAAAAATTTAGGGTTAAATATTTAAATCTTTACTTAACCACCTTACAAGAATCGCAAACGCATATGAAAACATTTTATAGTAGACTCTTAAAAAAAGAAATGTTAAACAGTTCCAAAACAAAAATTAAAAGAAAAATTCACTTACATTTAAAAATTTTAAATTATTTTAAAGCTTAACACTATTTTAAAGGATATTTTTTTTACCCTATGATATACTAAAAATTAGTATTCTATAACCTAGTCCTTTTGGGAATATAGTCAATATATCAATTTGATCCACTTATTTTGTGATCCACTTATTTTGCTTCTACATAGATATAAGATGAATGCATTTCTGAAGTGGCCTAAGTGGCTTACTAGTGAAACCAAACTTTGAATATTTGAATACTTTGCAGAAAATTTAAAGACAATCTATGATTAAAACTGCTCCAGAAAAATCACATAACATTAAAAGAACATCAATTTTATACAGTTAATGTCCAAAACCTACCTTGAAGAAAACTCTGCTGTAAATTGTAATAAGGCATCTCCTTCATTTTCTGCATTTTCTGGCACTAAAAAACAAACAAAAGAAAAAACAAAAACAAAAAAACAAAACAAATAGACACAAAAAAACAAACCACATAACATCTAATCCCACATATAAGAAATATATTTAATCAATAAAGAGGAAATAAAATTAAGTTTTAGCTTCTGTGATATATCTGAGGAGACATTTTAACTTGACATACATTAGAAGATTTTATAGAACCTTAAAGAAATTCCAAGCTCATAAATTTTGGAAAACCAACTGACACAATCCTAAGCATTTCAAATATGTGCCAGTCATCATTTGGATCATTTGGATTTTAATGTTTTCTTAAAATAATATCTTGTGATTAAATTACATAAAAAGGATCTCAAGTTATTTTTAATATCTTATTTATAAGGAAGATGATCAATTTTAAGTAAATATCACATCTATTTCTGCTCAAGGGAGTTCCCTAATTTCACTGAGTAAATGATGCATTTAAGGATTTATTTTAGTGGTAATTTTGCATATAGTACCACTTGTGATTCTACAGTATATATTTGTAAGGTGAAACAGAAGATGGCCCATTTAGTTTACATTTTTTCCTTTGAAAGGTGGTACCGGTGAATGGAAAAGGTAATACTACTCTTAAAACTGATACCTCTAATAAGATGTGGGGAAACAGGTCAAGTCACATAAGTATAGCTATTTGTTTATCAGCCTAGTCTAGGTTTAAAGTAGAGACAGACTCATAACTAATTATATACGTGAAACAAATCTATAAATTCCCTATACATTCCCTTGCATTTTTAATGAATTTTACTAAAGCACTGGAAATTGTTGAGCTTAATAAAATAAAAGTCAGTTAAGAGATTTTTAAGTTCATTGTTCTTCCTAAGTTTCTGCAGTAGAAAGTAGAATTATAATGCTGGACCCAAAGAGCTATTAATACTCACTCATTGGAGATTTTCTCAGGGCAGATGATGCCATGCCGAATACTTCTCCATCATCCACCCCAAATTCGGAAGCATCTTCAAAGTCATCTCCATCACTATCACTAACCATATGAACATCGGTGCTTTGCTATTTGAGAAAAGTCCTGATTAGCTTTAAATTGACTTTAGGAAATTAAATTATAACACATAAGTTATGTAACCACAATAGAATATTAGTGTTATAATAGTTTTATTATATAAGAAGGCATTTGCTAGAGGAAAGCTTAATATTTTTCATTTTAAGGCTTACATATTTCTAAACTTGCTGTGATACTCCTAGACTAAAGGTTGGAACCTGAGGGAAAATGAAGGATGCTTACAAACTCAATGAAGACAGGGATTTTTGTCTGTTTTATCCCCAGCACATAGTACACAATTAAGTCCTCAATGAATATTTACTCAATAAATGAGGAGATGGGTACAATCAGAGAGGTCAGAGACAATGCAAGCTATATGAGTCTTTTAAAAAGCTCACAGTTATCTCTATTTTAAACTGCCACTTCCTTAACAGTAAGGAAGTTTGGTTCTCAAACTTCTCATTAGTGAAAAATGGTACACTTGCCTCAGTGTTATTAGAGATAACATGAAATACACTATATATAAAAGATCTTTATGAAGTACAGGCTATTAAATATGATATGTACTGTTCAATAAATGTTCATTTACTACATGCTGGGCACTGATAAATATGCTGTTTATTTTGTTTTCAGCAATATCCATTGAGATTTAAAGTATTACAATTAAAAACATCAGCTTCAAAAAATACAGTAGGCTGTTAATCTCTAGGTAAGAAAAGAATTTCAAAAATACTGAAATCTAAAACATCCAAACTGTGCATATTGACAAATATTTATGGCTTGGATGAGAAGAGGGTCCCAGCAAGGTATCTGGAGAAATGCCTGTCTATACTAGGTTCAATATACAGAGTCTACAAAGACTAATAAATGAAATTTCTATCTTTTAAAATATGGCACTATGTACTTAAACTATGAAAATGGGGAAACTATTTGATTCTGGTCTATGCAGAAGAGCCCAACTTAGAGATAAATATTTGTCAGAAAAGCATTAAGGGAAACTTAGAATCAAAGACTCATAAAACTTGGCCAGAGGGATGTTAGAGTTTAGCCAGTCATAAAATCACAGATTTTAAAGCTAGAAGGGATTTTAAAGATCTCTCTCATCAATGTTTTTCAAATTTCTTTTCACAGAGTTACCTCATTCTCCTGGCCCCATGGCAAAATATTATTATGCAAAATTACAATGCGTACCATAGACAAAAGTAAGGCCACTCTGGCTGATGCAGGGAGAGGGAAATGGGGAGCCTAATGCTCCTGGCCTTGGCCTTTTCTTTCTCATATCCTTTTGATAGCGGGGGTACCTCCAAAGGATCTCAGAACACTATGTAACAATCTTTAAAACTACTGATCTAGCAAGTCTAACAGCTCCCCTACATCTGAACCCCTTCTCCCAATCCAGTTCTCAATCAAATAATAGCCCCTTTCCATAACAACAGGACTTTACATCATACTAGGAGAGTTATTTTAATTTTGTGCCTATGTAACTAACACATTACTCATTTTGTCTTCAAAAGTGTAGAATTCCCAAGTCTCTTAAGACCCGGAAAGCAAAATCCTACAACGACTACATCTTCAAAGGGAGTTATCTAAAAAGCCAATTTTGTTGAAAAAAGTATATTTCAAATATGAATTATTGAAGTATCTGCAAGAATGAGCTACTTAATTATGTATAAGGAACTCCCAATCTCTTCACATTTTCTTATCAGTCATCTAACAGGTTAGGAAAAGCTTTTTCTAAAAAATGAGATAAACAATCTTTTTTTTCATTAATGTTTGCTGATGAGAATACATAATCTCTTGGTTGAGTCATGGCAGCCTTAAAATTCTTTGAATCTAGAGAAGTTATTTATTCAGAATTTGAAAAGCAGCTAAAAAAATTTGTGATTCTATTTTGGCTGTTTATTGGCATTCATTTATTCCCATTATTATTTAAAAACATTTACAAAGCCCTAGTAAATGTCACACTGCCTGAACCTGTGTGCAAGGTAGTCTATACTCTCTTAAGGAACACTACGTAATATATACAGAAATTATAATATCTAATGATAAGTTTTGTGACAGGTAAGTTCAGAGGAGAGCATTTAATACACTGAGAATGGGAAAAAATCAGAGCAAACTTCCTAGAGGAGAAAGAACCAAAGTGTCTGAGACAAAATTTAGACTTATACATACTTGGCACTAAAGCAAGCTTATAACTGAAGCAGATGTGCCTTTCAGCAACTACTTATACAAAGATATAATTTAATTGCAGATATGTCCTTTTTGGTGTGGTAAGAGACACAATAAAAGCACAAGCAAATGCCGTGGGCTAATAGAAGAGTTACTCTAGCACCAGTGAAGAACACTGTGCAAGGCTTCACACAAGTGATAATTTTAAACCCATACTTTTAAAAGAGATACCAATGTTGTACAGTGTATGTATTAATGGAAGACTGGTAGGGAGGAAGTTGTACTCTAGGCAGATAAAAAACTCAAGCAAGGAATTGGATATTTAGAAAATCAATAAAGAATTCAGGAAAGCAAACTGAATCATCAACCCCATGTATGGGAGAAAAATATGGACTGGCACTAAGGGCAAAAAGTTTCGATGAACTACACTGCAGCAGTTCTTAAACTGGCATTGGTATTTGGACTTACTCTGATGGCAACAGAAAAACCACAATAGGTTTTCAGGCAGAGGACTGTTCAAGGGAACAACTCTAATGGCTGTGTGTGTGTGAGTGAGTGTGTGTGTGTGTGTGTGTGTGTAGGGGAACCTGGATGGGTCAGTTGGTTAGGCCTTCAACTTTGGCCCGGGTCATGATCTCACGGCTTGTGAGCTTGAACCCCGCATTGGGCTCTGTGCTGACAGCTCAGACCTGCTTCAGATTCTGTATCTCCCTCTCTCTTTGCCTCTCCCCCTATTTGTACTCTATCTCTCTCTCTCAAAAAATAAATCATTTAAAAAATTAAATATATGTATATTTATATGTAAAATTATGATATATACTTAAATATGTAAATATATATACTTATTTCAATTGGTGAATATATTCCTTATTTCAATAAGGAAAAACAGTAAAAGAGATGATGAGATTAGTTGTCAAAGATTAGAAAGTGTGAATCTTAGAAGCAAGATCTGAGAAAATTTCAATGGAGACAAGAACTATAAACAGGTTCAGTGAGAATGAAAATCAAGGAAGAGAGTTACTAGTTAGGTATTATGACAAAAAATATATCAAAGAAACCTGAATTTATAATCATTTTTTAAATGTTTATTCATTTTTTGAGAGACAGAGAGAAACAGAACATGAGCAGGGGAGGGGCAGAGAAAGAAGGAGACACAGAATCCAAAGTAGGCTCCAGGCTCTGAGCTGTCAGCACAGAGCCCGATGCGGGGCTTGAACCCACAAACCGCGAGATCATGACCTAAGCTGAAGTCAGATGCTTACCTGACTGAGCCACCCAGGTCCCCTCGAATTTATAATCAAGATACCTGGCTCTACCATTTTCTGTATGATATTGGACAAGTGTCTTTGCACCCCGACTACAGACTGACTAATACTGATCCACAAAGACAGCTGTGAAAATGAAAAGAGACGGCATAGCAGGGTATTTTATATAAACGATTATCCAACTCTTATAAATTCAATTTAAATCACATGGTAGAAAAAAGCCCAAATTGTAGTGAGTTAAACAAAAAGAGGATGAAGAAATAGAGTCATCCAGTAAGATTAAAGCCTGAAGGAATATATTTTGGGGGGGGGGGGAGACCTGAACATGTTTTTAGGATAAAGAGAAGGAACCAATAGAGGGAGAGGATAAAAATATAAGAGAGACCCCTTGCTCCTCCTTTCTTGTGGGAAAGAGAAGTAAGGGTAAAATCAAGCTAATCGGTAGAACATAAACTCTGATAGCAAGACATTTCTCAACTAATAAATTAAGAGTAATAAATTTGATGCTGACATAAAAATATCCCTATTTGAATAGGCAAAAGGAAAGGGCCATAAAAATCATGATGTACTAGTTTATTTGGGACAGTTTCAAAGAATAGTAGGTCTCTCAGCAACTAGAATGAACAGTTTTTGGCTGGGGTTGACAATGATTATTAATATGGGTGAGGACAAAGGTTTCTGGGGCGATAAGGTAAGTTCAATTTTGTATAGAGTGAATCTGTGGTAGGCGCTCAGATGAAAATATTCAGAAAGAACCAGACTACTATTTAGCTTGTCTGCCTATGGTGCAATGCCACATCCTATTGACTCCTCCAACAATACAAAATTCCCCCATCTAGAGGACAAATAAATATAATCCATAAAATTCAAAAGTTAAGTTTAACTACTGGTCTCAAATATCTCCTTCCTAACTCAAGGCTTAAGACAGTCAACAGAAAAAGGACAACTGTCCTGAAACATGAAATCATTTAGGAAAAGGGTTAAAACCAGGAAAAAAAAAGAAGCAGAACGACTGGGTGGAGGCTGTAGGGACACAGGTTCCAGTTTAATATAAGGAAGATAGCAGCAGACAGAGCTGCTCAATAATGGAACTGGTTGCCTCATGAAGACAGAATTTTGTTACTGGAGATAAAACACAGGTATATTTTGAGGGAATATTCTGAGTGAGCTCTTTCAGCATACAGACTGTGGTCCTAATGTTTGGCATCTAGAAGACATTAAATAAATGTTTAAATGAATGAGAGATGAACGGAGAGAAGATTGGAAATCAAATTTAAAAATCCCTTTCAGTTGTATAATTCTAAGGCTGCATAGAAGCCCAAGTCACACTTGTCCATTTCTCACCAGCCCCCTGAAAAGGTGATATTTACAGTTAGCCAGGGAAGGAGAAATAATAGTTTCATTCCAAATAATCATATTTTTAGATATTCCCAAGGCTGTGATTCTTTTAGTTTAGCAAAGCCTCCTAACTCCACTCTACCTTCTCTAACCTAAACAGTATGCTAGCTTCATAAACACTTCTTACTATATGACACAGACTTCTTTCTGCTGAAGGGTCTGCCTAAATAACACATGATTGTGAGAGTGAGAGAAGGAAAGAAAATGAAGCGAAACAGGTTATCTGTCACCTTAGGAGCACAGAATAATTAAAAATTTTGGGTGGAGCTAATTGGCCACATTTTAAGGTAGTGGATTTATCTATTAAAGGATAACTTGCATTAGCATTAAAAACATACTTGAGCACTACAAAGAAATATTTCTTTTTTGAATGTTTATTTAATTTATTTTTGTTTTTTTAATTTTTTTTTTTTAAATTTAGTTTTGAGGGAGACAGAGTGTGAGCAGGGGAGGTGCAAGGAGAGAGGGAGACACAGAATTCAAAGTAGGCACCAGGCTCTGAGCTGTCAGCACAGAGCCAGATGCGGGGCTTGAACTCACAGACCGTGAGATCATGACCTGAGCCAAAGTTGGACGCTCAACTGACTGAGCCACCCAGGCACCCCTATTTATTCATTTTTGAGAGAGAGACAGAAAGCACAAGAGGGAGAGGGGAAGATAGAGAGGGAGACAGAGAATCCCAAGCAGGCTATGCACTGTCAGCACAGAGCCTGATGTGGGGCGTGAATGTACAAACTGAAGTGAAATCAAGAGTTGGATGCTCAAGTGACTGAGTTACCCAGGCACTTCAAGAAAGAAAGAAATTATTTTATTTATTTATCTTTTTAATTATTTATCTTTATTTATCTTTTAATTTATTTATCTTTAGCAAAGAACTAATTTATTTCTTTATATATCAATACATTATTTATTGATATATAATAAAAATAATAAATTATTTATTGATATATAAAGAAATAACTTACTTCTGGCAATTTCTGTGAAACAGTGAAACTCAATATTATGTTTTCTTTCATGAGGATCAGGGAGATAAAATGCTGAATAATATGGTATGGGCTTTTTAAAGGAAATTAACATTTTTAGAGGCCCAAGAAAACAGTACAGTAGTATTTGTAGCAGGAGAAAACCCTTTCTTCTTTGTGGATTTCTAAAAAACATGTTAAAAACCAGAGCAGCAAATTATCACTTTCACAGGTTGAGCATGGACTAGAATATAACTTATGCAGTCCCATTTCTCTTTCACGTATTTAAGTGATATAAATACATATTCAGAAGATGGCTGGAAAGGTCCTGTGGCAGCTTTCACAATGATTGTTCAAAATATGTAGCCAGTTTAAATAAAAATAGGCAACCATAGTTTGTATATAATGTAAATGGAAAAGGGTTTTACTGGACTATTTCACCTTTTGAATACTTGGATCATACGTTAGCCTGAAAAACACTGAAGTAACAGTTTTTTGGTATTATTTAGCTATGATCTCTATCACATACATTTTTTTTAAGTCATGGTGATGATTTTTCTTAGCACATAGTGGGAGCTCAATAAATACTTTTTTTTTTTTTTTACAAATAGTTTATTGTCAAATTAGTTTCCACATAACACCCAGTGCTCATCCCCACAAGTGCCCTCCTCCATGCCCACCCCCCCCCTCATCCATCAGTCCTCAGTTTTTTCAGCATTCAAGAGTCTCTCATGGTTTGCCTCTCTCCCTTTCCCCCACCATTTCCCCCCTTCTTCTCCCCCTTGTTCCTCCGTCAAGTTCCTCCTAATCCTCCTATACGTGCAAACATATGGTATTTGTCCCTCTCTGCCTGACTTATTTCGCTCAGCATAACACTCTCAAGGTCCATCCATGTTGCTACACATGGCCAGATTTCATTGTTTCTCATGGCCATGTAGTATTCCATGGTATAGATAAACCACATCTTCTTGATCCATTTGTCCGTTGATGGACACTTAGGCTCTTTCCATGTTTTCGCTATTGTGGAGAGTGCTGCTATGAACATTGGGGTACACGTGCTCCTATGCATCAGCATTTCTGTATCCCTTGGGTAAATTCCTAGCAGTGTTATTGCTGGGTCATAGGGGAGTTCTATTGTTAATTTCCTGAGGAACCTCCACACTGTTTTCCAGAGGGGCTGTACCAGTAATAAATACTTTTTAAACAGATAAATTGTCATGTCCAATCTATCTTTTCCCCTTCCCTTGTACCCAAAATCATAGCTGGACACAGAGCGTGGAAAAGATAATGCCTTTAACACTGTTCAGACCCATAAAGACACACATCTCATACACAAACATGTTGAATCTTATCTGCCCCTCTTCTCTTTTTCCATAGCACCTTATGTACTATCACTGCTTTTATTACATTATCCATTATTAGTTTGCTAATCTATCATCTCTGACTCTGAGCACCTTGCTATAGATACCCTGTTATTCATCTATGTTACCTAGTATGAGGCACAACATCTGACTCACAGAAAGTGCCCCAACCCCAGGAGTTAAAGGACCTTCAAGATCAGTCCTAATAAATGTACTCTACTATATAGTTAGCAGTGAAGAAAATCCTTTAGTCAATCTGTCAATTCTAAATAAAATTCATTTCAACCAATTCACCTGAATTCTGTCTGCTGAAACATGAAACTTACAGACCAAGAAGGAGCATGTTAGCAATAAATTCGCATGAGAAATCTGTCTTCAAGAATTTACTGAGACTCTATTCATGCTACATTAACTTTATCTATTCATTTGTGTGGCAGATAAAAAAGAAAAGGAAGTGGGCAGGCAGGTGAAAGACAGGCCTCCTATTCACTGAAAAGGTGGCAAACAGGCTTACCTCTTCGGACTGCTCCCGTGTCTGCGCAGGTGAACATCTTCTCCCCACTGTAAGTCGATGGCAGGGATAAGACAGCCCTGATTCAGCAAGACACATCTGTAAAAAAAAAAAAAAAAAAAAAGAGGAATACATCATTTGTAAACAAAATGAGACCATGTTTCAAAAAAGGACTTTACTTTTGATATTTTCTATTATTTCTGAAGTTAGATTAGAAAGCTCACTTTAGTAGCCCAGGTATTATATTACCAGGAAGGCTTTGAAAATTTGAAATTTTTCCATATATGCGATGTTACAATAGTCAAGGCCTCTTTTTTATTGGCTTAAACAAAAGAAATCTATTTTCTCACAGTCCTGGAGGTTGAAAGTCTGAGATAAAGATGTTGGTTGGCAGGGGTGGTTTCGTTTTTTTTTTTCTTTATTTTTATTTTTTTATTTATTTCTTTTTATTTATTTATTTTTAAATTTTATTATGTTTTAATTTTTTCTAATTAGAAACATTTTATGAAAATATGCCAAATAAAAACCCACATTTTCAGATGACAGGATGTTAATACAGTAAAAAAAAACTTATATTATTTAACTGTGGTGAATTTATAGAGTAACAGTCCAAATCCATTTTGGTTAGCTAATTGAAATACCCTTCCTAGGTTACACTTTATAGACATCAAATCCATTACATCCCTTATAATAATGTAAACAAAATGACTCTTCCCTAAAAGGTGAACTTGAGAACTTCGGTCCACTCTTTCAAGACTTGCACTTCTTTGTGTACTTCCTGATGGGGAGTGACTTCTTTTTGGATATGGAGATCTGGGCTTTGGCTACTTCTTTTTTTTTTTTTTTTTTTTTTAATTTTTTAAATGTTTTATTTATTTCTAGGAGAGAGAGAGAGAGAGACAGCGTGAGCAGGGGAAGGTCAGAGAGAGGGGGAGACACAGAATCTGAAACAGGCTCCAGGCTCTGAGCTGGCAGTCAGCACAGAGCCCGACATGGGGCTCAAACCCATGAACCGCGAGATCATGACCTAAGCGAAAGTCGGACGCTTAACCGACTAAGCCAGCCAGGCGCCCCATTTTGGCTACTTATTGATCGTGAAACAGACCCTGATCTTGATCTTGATCTTTACTCTGATGGGGATCTTGATGTTTTTATGGAACCAGATGTAGACCTCTGTGTGAAGCTGATCTTGATCTACAGAGAAACACAGGTCTTGATTGCTGAGGAGATGCTGATCTTGACCTCCCTTCCCTGGTCCTGCTGTATGAACAAAAGTATTGCCTACCTCTGCATCTTAAATGTGATCTAGACTGTAATCTGCTTCTCCACTGCCAGCTATCAAGGTGACAATCATAAGCATAATGTCCCTTTTTGCAACATTCATAGCATCTATCAATGGGATCAAAGGAATGTTGGGCAGGTGGTCGGTCTATCAAAATCAGAGCTCCAAGGCATAGTTGTTGAAAATTCAACTCTCACTTGGGAACCACAAATCACCCTCCCACCCAGGCCTCACATTGCATCTTCTGCATATCTAGGATCTTCAAATTCCACAAAGGCAAATCCTGGAGGATTTCTTATAATCCACACAGTTCTTAACAGACTGTAATAGCTGAAAGCCCTTTTTAACTCTCCTCTGCTGACACTGGTTCTCAGACTACCAACATATACCTTGGTTTTTCTCCTCCACACCAAGAAGGGGTGACATGATGCCTGGCCTGCTCTCAAGGCCCAGGGAATAATCAATACAAAAGATACAGCACTGACTCAGTTGCCAATCGTTTTGGTAGCCGTAAGTTTTTATTTTAATTCCAGCATAGTTAACATATACAGTGTTACATTAGTTTCAGGTTTAAAATATATTGGTTCAACAATTCCACACATCACCCAGTGCTCATCATAGTAAGTGCAATCTTTAATCCTCATCACGTATTTCACCCATCCCCCATACACTTCCCCTCTGGTAACCATCAGTTTGTTCTCTATAGTTAAGAGTCTATTTCTTGTTTTTTTTTTTTTTTTCTCTCTTTTTCCCTTTGCTCACTTGTTTCTTAAATTCCACATATGAGTGAATCATATGGTATTTGTCTTTCTCTGACTGACTTATTTTGCTTAGCATTATACTTCCTAGATCCATTCACATTGCTGCAAATGTTAACAGGTTTCATTCTTTTATATGGCTGAATAATATTCCAATATATAAAAAAATATATCTCACCTCTGCTTTATCCATTCATTGATAGATAGACATGGGCTGCTTCTGTAATTTGGCTACTGTAAATAATCCTATAAACATTGGGGGTGCAGGTATCCCTTTGAATTAGTATTTTTGTATTCTTTGGGTAAATACCCAGTAGTATGATTGCCAGATCATAGGGTAGTTCTATTTTTAACCTTTTGAGGAAACTCCATACTGTTTTCCACAGTGGCTGTACCAGTTTGCATATCCACGAATAGTGCAAGAGAGTTCCCTTTTCTCAACATCCTTGCCAAGACTTGTTTCTTGTGTTTTTTATTTTAGCCATTTTGACAAGTGTGAGGTGATATCTCATTATGGTTTCCATTTGTATTTATCTGATGATGAGTGATCTTTTGAGCATCTTTTCACGTGTCTGTTGCTCATCTGTCTTCTTTGGAGAAATAGCTATTTATGTCTCCTGCCCATTTTTAAAATTTGATTATTTGTTTTGGGAGAATGGAGTTGTATTAAGTTCTTTATATATTTTGGATACTAACCATTTATCAGATATGTCACTTGCAAATATCTTCTCCCAGTTAGTAGGTTGCCTTTTAATTTTCTGGATTATTTTCTTTGCTGTGCAGAAGCTTTTTATTTTGATGTAGTCCCAACAGTTTGTTTTTAGTCAAGGCTATTTTTCCATAAGACAATAGACTGGTACTCCAGGAGACTGTAATAAGTCTAAAATAAAGCTAATTGTATATACGTCCACATCCCCACCCACGACTAGTATGTCTGTTACTTTTCCAATTAGAACAATACTTCAGTTTACTAATTTCCAGGGCAGTGCTCTATAAATCTTTTTTTGGAGGGTACTTGGAATAGTGTTTATTGAAGGCATTAAAGAGAAAAGTTTCCACAGATAGTAACAATGTCATTTATTATTTTATCATATTAATCCACAATATCAAATTGTTATTATAGCTTATGAATCTATAATATATGTAAAGCTCCTAGCACAGTACCTGGCACATAGTCAGTTGATTTTTATTACCATTATGATCTAAAATGTCACCCAAAGAGTCTGCCTAGTTTAGCCAACACAATTAAAGCCATATATATTTACTTCTATTAAAGTTTTTAGTGGGTCAGATATTAAATAATTAATTGGAGTTTTAAATTAAATTTGGGAAAACATGAACAAATATGGGCACATGTCACTTTTGTCTACAATGAAGAATTAAAACAATATTAAATAGCCAAAAGAGGGTGTTTTCTCTAATGTTTATGAAATGACACAGTGGTGTATTTAATGTAATGATGATAAAAAGTTTCTTTTATTATTATTAGCAATAAAACAGGGTCTCCATTAGCACACTGAAAGCATCCGTTGGTAACTTTTGGGGAGGTGTGAATTAAACTGATATCTGAGGAAACCCAAATATCTGTAAATTCATAGAGACAAATCAAAGACACAATAGTGGACTGGTCATGAGTACAATTCAAACATGTGTTACAATCAAGCTAATTATCTGAAGACAAATGCTGAATGAAAACTACAAATGTCACATAACTGTACAGGTATTTTCTTTCTTTTTTTTTTGCAAATAGTTTATTGTCAAATTAGTTTCCACATAACACTCAGTGCTCATCCCCAAAGTGCCCTCCTCCATGCCCATCCCCCCCTCCCCCCCACAACCATCAGTCCTCAGTTTTTGTCAGCATTCAAGAGTCTCTCATGGTTTGCCTCTCTCCCTTTCCCCCACCATTTCCCCCCTTCTTCTCCCCCTTGTTCCTCCGTCAAGTTCCTCCTAATCCTCCTATACGTGCAAACATATAATATTTGTCCTTCTCTGCCTGTACAGGTATTTTCAATCATGTGAGGTGTGTGGTGTCATATAGATTATACAGATAAAAATCATTTGTATTTGATTATTATTCTTCCTTTAGTCTGGTTAGAGTTTTTTTAAATTATTTTTTTATTGGGTTAAAGTACACATAACCTTTGCCACTTTAACCATTTCATTTTATTTATTTTTTAAAGTAACCTCTATGGCCAACGTGGGGCTCGAACTCACGACTCTGCAAATAAGAATCCCATGCTTTCCCAGATGAGCCAGGTGCCCCATGGTTAGAGGTATTTGTTAGTTTGTTTTGGCATCTAGATATTTTGGCATTGTACCTTACAAATGCTAGAAAACTTGATTAGTAATAATAATTATAAAAAGCAAAACTTCATCCTTTCTGTCATTCTTTTCAATCTTTTTCATCATTTGTCACAATTAGCTCAATTTTTTTTTATTTCAGTACCAAGAAAAGCAAAGCTAATTTGGATAAGAAGCACAGGCTAAATTTAAGTCATGTTACTTTCACAATAGCTTTCATTTAAGAAAGTTGTCCTCCCCCATCCTGAAATCCTCTGGCAATGAAACAATAATGATGGTAAATGTCACTGACAATCAGAAGCAGTGTAGCATAATGGAAAGAGATTTGGACCAGGAGCCAGAAAAATCTTGATTCAAGTACTTCCAAGCCTCCTGAACTTGTGAAAGTCATTTCTCTATTCTCAGCCAGAGTTTTCCATTTATTGAGGCTGAGTAATCCCTGCCTTAACTATGTCAATGAACTTCTGAAAGGGTTAAATTAAGTAAAAGCTGACTTTGAAAGTATACTGACTATGGGCGCCTGGGTGGCTCAGTCGGACTTCGGCTCAGGTCATGATCTCGCGGTTCATGGGTTTGAGCCCCGTGTTGGGCTCTGTGCTGACAGCCAGCTCAGAGCCTGTAGTGTGTTTCAGATTCTGTGTCTCCCTGTCTCTCTGACCCTCCCCTGCTCACGCTGTCTCTCTCTCTCTCAGAAATAAATAAAACATTAAAAAAAAAAAAAAAAGAAAGTATACTGACTAGTCAGACACTTGTTA